AAAACCCCAAAACCCCAAAACCCCAAAACCCCAAAACCCCAAAACCCCTTTTAATCTAAATAAAATTGAATAAAGATTTCTGCTAAGTTTCTCTACTCAGTCTCTCTATTCAGGGCTTTTGATTTTACAAGATTTTTCTTTTCCTCAGTTCTCATAGAGTCTGAAAAGTAATCGCTTGCCATAATCACTCCCCATGCAATTAATGCGATTAAGAATACAATGAAGACTAGCCAGGCGATGAATTTTAGAAATGATAATCCACCTGATTTTCGACTGGGATCTCTAGCTTCCAAATCCTCTTCTTGTGTGTCTCCTGCAAATGGATCAGCATATGCTCGGACTTCTATAGGAACATTTGAGAAGTCATATTCAGCTCCTGGGATTGCTTTCGCCATCTTGGTATATTCTCCATTTCTATATCATCCTTTGATAACTTTCCACTCATGGTTCTGAATGTCATTCGATCCAGAGGTCTCTTCTACCTTAAATCAGATGCTTTCTACTACAGAATATGAGAATCATTTATCAAAGGCATAGATGCCTAGATAGAGGTGTTCTCACTCTGAGTCTCAGTCATTCTGTCAGTCATTAAGGTTATGAACCTCTTCATGCCACATTTTTATATTGATTCCCTCCTTGGGGTCACTCTTCTTCCATAGTATGTGGCCTTTGTTTAGTAAAGATCACCTTGTGAGACCATCAAAGGGTTGATATTTACCAAACTGCGTCGATTTTCCCACTTCAGACCAACTGAGAAAGAAGCAGTATGGGTCAGGGTCTCCAAAGGGGACATAATCCTTCTCCAGAGTAATCTCTGGAAAATAATTCCGAGTATTTGAGAAACTATGATAGCTTTTATCAACATTTTTATTTTTATTATCCTCTGCTGTGTTCTGAACATAGTCCATAATAACAATATTAGCCTCAGTGTTGGCAGAAGGTATTATCTTCAGCCCAACCCTGATATTGCCCATCTTGAATTTGATGGGATGGGTTCCCCACTCGTATTTCTTATTTATCGCTAATTATATTCTCAGAGGGGCTAATTGCCCAATGAAGCAAGATGAAAAGTACAAATATGAGAAATCATCCAATCCATATGTATAACAACAGGTCCTTGTATCTCCTTACAGTGTTGAGAAGGTTGTTGTCGTACCATTTGAACTGCCCACTGCTCTTTGTTTCCTCCTGTTTTGTGTGCATTCGAAAAATCAATTAAAATTATAGAAGATGGGGTTTTGGGGTTTTGGGGTTTTGGGGTTTTGGGG